CTGTCAATGCTGCAAAGTCATATCTCCACTGTATGATTCTATCAAACTGGTCGTTTGCTTGTGCCACAAACCTGAAACCCAAAGAACAGCTGTACAAGAGAGCTATCAAGGTGTTTGACAGAAAGCCTTATTCATACCATCACTGTACCATCCTTGAGAAACACAATTTCTTAAGTTTTGACAATTTTAAGTCTTTTAAAAGTATGTTTTTTTTAATAAATGCTTACATGGCATGCCCCCCTCCCCTTAGGGGAATTCGTCCACAAAGAACACACTGGACGCTGCACTAGGTCTGTGAAGTCCACCGCAGACGGACCACTTTTGGACAAAATGTCCTCTCCATTAAAGGCAGCTCTTTCTGGAATAGCCTCCCAACTGAGATACGGGATTGTCCCACTCTCAATAGCTTTAAAGGTCAACTCAAAGAATGGTTGAGAACCACACATCTGTGCAATCACCGCTAAATGCACTTTAACACAGGGGTATCTCCTCTCGCACTTTATGTAGTTCTTTTATCTACTCCTGCACTTTATATGTCGTAGCTGCTATAGTGTACTGCCATGTGGTAAATACTTGTGTGTGCTGCTCTTGCTCTTTCTGCATATCATGTATTTATTTTTGCTATCTATATAAATGTCATGTTCTTAAATGTTGTATGGGACTACGGATGGAAATTAGCTCAAAGCTAAAATCCGGCATATTTACATTTGAAACATTATTTGTTTAAAGTGTTCATCAATGTGCATTGTCCCTATTCAAATAAACGATTAAATGAAATGAAAATGTGTGTACACAAAACAACATTTTCGGACCTGTAAAGCCATTACGATGAGTTTTATCGTAGCAAACGTCTGCCACTTCCATCTTTAAAATCACGATAACAGTAGACATACAAATATGTTAATTATAGAACAGGAGAGACTTCATGTTCTCTGCAATTAGGTGAAAAAACCAAATGTGTCGTGTTTTTTTTTTTTTTTACAATTGACCTGGAAGATGTCTGATATCAGTAAAGATCCATTGCTTTGCATTCTTATTTGAAACCACTTCTGAACTACGTCTATCCAGAAAGTAGTACATGTGGCCGAAATAGTTGTTTATTCACAAATGACGCTTCCTTAAAAAATTCTCCAGTATTTATTGGTTTTCTTAATGATGTAAAAAAAGAAATCTAAAACGAAAAGAAAAAAAAGACCAACATTTTGGAATTTCTAAGCCCCTTAAATGAATTTTTGTTTTGTTTTACTTCATTTATTCTTCTTTCTTTTCTCTATTTTCTGTTCATAATGCCCTCAGTTTGATTTCAGTATATGAACATTGATGTGAAGTGTCTTTTTATGATGTCTTTGGAAATGTGGATATTGAAAAGCAAAAAAAACTTTCATATAAAAAACTCTCATCGGACTTATCATAACTTATTATCTGCCAGGTTGTGTTCTTTTTATATTAAGTGTTACATGTAATAAAAGAAAACATTTTCAATACAAAAAAAACAAAACACACAATTATCTCACCACTTCAAAAAGTGTCAAAAGGGAGGTCAGTTGCAAAACAATGAAAGCAGAATGGTGTATTTTGGGTAATGATGGTGGTATGACAAATGTAAAGAGAGAGATGTCTGACGCTGAGAAAAAGGGTCAACTAGCAGCAGCACAAAGGAGATGAAAGTCAGTGAACGCATCACTCGGGAAGCAGGCCGGGGAATGTTGGAGAACATCTTCAAAAGGTCGACGCCATCATTATGAGCTTGAACGTCTGCGTTAAATATTGAAGCGGTTTGAAGCGTTTGGAGAAACTGATATCGATTGAATTATTAACGAAGCTCAAAATGAATCCAGATCATGCTAACAGCTTGTTTTGGAGTTTTGAAGACTTAGAAGAACACTAGAAACTTTTCAGGCAGAGGCAGCGGAAGAGGGTTTCGATGACGTCGGTATTGACTTGACATTTTATTTCTTTTGGTTACAACTTTCTGACAAAAGCCGCAGCACTGAGGCTCTGTTTGGACCTGTAGAAGTTCTCGTATGGGAGAGGGGTGGTGGTGAATTGTGATGAAGCGTCCCATTTCACCTCTCCTTAGTGAGACGTCTTTGCGTGAGGTGCAGACAGAGAGGGATCGATGGACAAAGTTAATGGATGCCTTGGGGAATAGAGAGGACTTTGCCCTGTGTTTTTATGTTTGTTTGTGTGTGATGGGCATTGAAGATTGCCCTTTGCTGAAGGCGCACTTGAATCGGAAACTTGATATTCTTAGAGGGCCGTGGGAATTGACTCAAACTTTTATAGATCTGACTTTGACTTGAGAGTTAAAGGCTCTGGAAAGGTTTAAAGGCTTCAGAGTGACTGCCAGTAAATGTCTCGGGCTCTCTCGGCTGTGTGTGCGTGTGTGTGTGTGTGTGCGTGTGTGTGTGTGCGTGCGTGCGTGTGTGTGTGCCTGGAGGAGGCTGACATTTCCACCATCACTCCCACCATTGCCCAAAACCAGCT